GGCCGGGGCTCGGCGGTGCCCGGGCGGGCTGGGGGAGGCTCCCGCTGGGCAGCCGTGCAAGCGCTGGCCGCAGTGCGCTTACTTCGTGACTTAAAATACATGTATAAAAGAGGAGGGGAAACCGCGGAGGTGCCGGTAGTTAACCCGCAACGCAGCGGAGCGCGGCCGCTGGGGACGGATTTTTTTATACGTTTAATCTCTGTGAGGCCGATAGCCAAAAACGTGTGTCCAGGCTTCTTGTCTAGCGGGGTACTTCCAGGCTTTCAAACCGGACTGTGGTGTTTTGTGGTTTGGTTTTTTTTGGTTTTTTTTTTCTCTCTACGTGATGTGGGCACTGCTTGGGGCTTTTTATTATTATGTTGGGATCCGAGGGCAGAGCTGTAATGGGAAAGCAATGGGTGGAGAAGTTCAGCATCTGAAGGGGATGCCGGCGGCTCGTACGTAGCAGGCTTCATGATGCACCGTAATTATTTGTGAAACTCCTTTAGAGGGAGGATGTATGCAGGGGTTGGTGAAGGAAAACCGTACCAGAATTTCAAAGATGTGGCCTGAGGTAACCAGCTAGCTGTAATTTATTTTGGAGACCGAGAATAATGTGAATTGCAGTTTTCTTAAAAGAAAAAAAAAAAGTGCAGAGGAAGGGGAAAATACTGTTCCTCTGTGTGTGAAGATATCAAATGTTCGGGAAGTGCATTGGTTTGGGGGATGATGGAAATGACTTTGGCTTTGCCTTGGTTAGATAACAGTGGGCCCAATCCTTCTGCCCCCACGCCATTTCGCATGATTTCACCCATGGGAGCAATGCTGGGGAGGTGGTGTGGCTGCTTTTGAAGGGCTTTCCCTGTTACTCACCTGCCTTTTGGGAGGCACACTCTCCTGTGCACTCCGGTGTGCCCCGATATGGTGCCAAGAGCCCGGCAGATGCTCTGAGCCCCGTCTTGATCCTCAGTCATCCTTGCCGTTTCTTGGAAAAGCTGGATAGTACTGATGGAGTCAACGGGACCGTTCGAGCGTAGAGGTGTCTGTGCACAAACAGGCAGCTGCAGAATAAGACTTTTACACAATAGGAAGCAGTACTGGAAAGGATTAATGAAGCTACCTAGCAAACGGGTCTAGTGGCACCTTTACAGGGAGGTTGCAGGGGAATATTACAGTAATGATGAGCAGCGTGAGCGCTTGCTTCACGGTCTCTCTCCCCCTACTTTTCTGACTGCTGCTCTCTAATATCTGTCTCTTCAGTAAATGCAAAGCTAAAAGACTGCTGGTAGGAGGGGTCTGACTGTGGACCTGAACTTATTCAATAACAGCTGTCCTTCCCTGCTAGGAGATTTATTTGTAAACAAGCATTATTTGACAAGTGCTTCTCACAGCATGTCTCCTTTGCCAATTACTACTGAACAGCTCTGCTTCTGGGAATGGCTCACCCTGCAGTACGTGAAGCCTAATGCATGAGAAACTCAGATGCTGAAGTCCACCTGCCTAGCTGTATGCCGCTGACACTTGTCACTGGTTTGGGTTTGAAAAGCTGCTTCTGGGCTCTGATGAGAGAGATCCTTCCCTGGGGTTACTTGTCATATTCAGCTGGTTGGGAACTTTACTTTTGCTCGGAGGGAGGTAGCCATCTTAGACCTGGGAATAATATTTTCAAAAGTTGGTGGTATTGGTTTTTCTGGGTTTTGTTTTTTATTTTCCCTCGTTCTACACACCATGGTTAAACAACTAGCCGATACCCTGTGCTGTGTAGGTATGTAACGTATGTAGTTGCATAGAGGATAATAAATTCTCACAATTACTTTTTCCTTTAACCCTGCATCACATTTTTTGTTTCTCTAAATCTTACTGTAATACAGGGACTTTGTTGGATAAGATACATGCAGTTAACAGTTCACAGTGCATGATTTTCTGTTTTACCCTATAATGGAGGGACACTTAGGGAACATGCTTTAAAAATCTAGGTTAAGATTTGGAGGGGGAAAAAAAAAAAAAAGGTAAATTCAGTGTTTGGGTTCCTTAGCATGAAAGTAGCTTTTTTTGCAAGGGCAACTAAGCTTCAGAAGCTCCTGCCATTTTTATGGGGAAGTATTGAGTGCCCAGCCTGTATCATAAACCTGGTCACCTTCATAGATATCTCTAGTTATGGATTGAAGGATATACATTGGGAAAACTGAATTCTTTTTTTCCAGATTTTCCTGTAATGGGGAAATAAAATGGATTTTGATTTCAATCACCTTTTCTCAGTTTATATATTAAAAGCAAAGCATGTAGTGAAGGATGAAGACTCAATGCTATTTCATGCATTTTCAAGTGTTGTTTAGCTGTTATTTTTAACTCTTTAGCAGAGTTCATTGATTAGAACCAGAGATTTCCTTCTTCTCTTTGAATACTTTTACAAATTCAGAAATTAGTCACAAAGAAAATATTCCAAAGAGTACACTGAAAATATTACCCAATTTTGAAGTGCTGGTATTTCAGAAGTGCATTATTACTTTAAAATACATTCCCTATAATAATAGGGTGCGAGAGACAGCCCTGCAATATGTGACTAGGCTTCCTATACCTCCTTTAGTTTAAAAATGCATGTGTTTTAAATCTTTCTGTTGTAAGTACCAGGGTTTGGGAAGTGGCTTATATAAATTATTTATGTAAAACACAGAATGAATGAAGCAATTGTTTAAAG